AACTATGTAAAATATATAATTTATTGGAACTAAGCTGTAAAAATAAATATGAAGGTCAATTAATTTATAAAACATGAGGTAAAGTTCTTTTTATGTTATTTGATGCATTTTAAATTTATTTATTTATTTAAAGGTTCATTATTATGTCAGTGTCGGTCCTCCATACTGCAGAACATGAAGAGGTAGTTCAGTGACTGAGTCCGGTGTGTTGGAGCAGAGAAACATGTAAAACATGTAGGGCTGCGGCCCCCCAGGACCAGGATTGCCCACCCACGTTAAAGGATTTAAAGATCAGAGTCTCACTCAGATCCAGCTGCCAGAGGTCGTTCAGACGACCCCCCTCCATCCCCCCGAACACGTAGAGCCTGGAGGAGCCGAGGCCCGAGTGGGCCACCGCGGTGTGGGACTCTCGAGGACAGGGTCCGCCTCCTTTAGTGTCAGGGATGTTCCAGCCTCGGACCCCCGTCAGCGGCTGCAGCTCCAGCTCATACAGGTCCCCCAAGTACCTAAAGCCCCAACCAACATCTGATCAAACAGCTAAAACTCACAAAATTCAATTAACTCATTAAACAACTAATTACAGCCAAACAGAAACAATTCTTCACACAACTAAAACAAAATGCTTCACTTGGGTTTTATGAGGGGCAGGATTTCCACGGTACCTGGGCACGTTGCCGTGGGGGTCCTCGCTGTCATTGGCCAGCCCCCCGAACAGGTAACACTTGTTCCCCAGCAGAGTGAAGCTGTGGCCGATCCGTGGGCAGGGAGGACAGCCGTTCCTGGGAGCCCTCGGCTTCAGCTTCTTCCACAGCCAGCGGCTGGCCTGAGGAGGAAGAACTGGATCAGAGCCGCAAATTAAACCATCTGTAGCTTTGATTTCATGTCRACTCCTCCAAACACACAATAAAACACAACAATTAACACAAAAAAACTGATAAAAAATATTCTGTCATATTTAACAGGAGCACTCTGCCTGTGTCTGAATCAAACATCTCAGGTAAAGTCTGTTTATTAAGTTTATTAAGTCTTCTTTCTGATGCCTTTCATTTCATTTGTATTTTTTATTGTATATATAGAATTTGTTTTGTTTTTTGAAAAGAAATTAATGAACTTTATAAGTAAAAAAATGAATAAATACGAAGATGAAAAGACATCTTCATTGAGTTCATCTGGTTGTTTTAGATTTACTCAATTTATTACAAAATATAAAATAAATTTTGCATTCCTATGAGATGCAATTGCAAAAAGAACGGCCGCTTCTTTACTTTTATTTGAAATAAATGTGCAAAACCTTTATTTTATAAAAAGGTTAGATTTGGAAACAACAATTTGATTTGTAAGAGTTTTATGTTATGCTGAAATTAGTCAATATTAAAAAAAATATTTTCCCTTTTTTCTAGAACTGTTACTATTCCAACTTGTGATAAAAATGTTTTTAGGTGAGGAAATCGTAATAAACTTAGTAATAAAAAACAGAAATCAGGAGAAAACTGATTTTTAAAGCCTTGAAAATGTATCAAATAAATACGTTTTCATGGATTTTAGGGAAAGTTCAACATAAATTAACTGATCAAAATTGGACCTTCGAGGCGTTTCTTTACTGCAGTCAACAAATAATCCTGATCAGGATTTTCTCCACAATCCTTGATGAGTAAAATGCTGCAGCTCTGGTGTTCGACGACGTGTTTCACCTGAAGCTCATAGAGGCTGCTGGTGTATTTCCCGTACTCCACCATGCCTCCAAAGACCAGGATCCGGGTTCCTTCGCAGACGAAGCCATGAGCAGCGCAGCCGGGTGGGATGTCACCCCTCACAGCCGGAAGAAACCACTGCCTCGAAACTGCAGGAGCAAGCAGAAAAAACATTTTAGTGCATGAAAACTCAACAATCAGCGTTCATGTGAAGTATTTTAAATGCAAAATTACACTGAAGTGCATAAAAAATCCTCTGTACTGTTGCAAATAACATGTGACAAACTCAGAAAACAGTATTTTATATTTTAATCTCACAAGATAACTGCAGTTATAGCAACACAATATTTTATAAAATATATATTTAAAAGTAGCATCATAAAGAACATCTGAAAATATTAACTTATATGTTAACTAGGTAATTTTGGTTAATAGCAGTAAAGTATACTTAAAAATATTTATTTTAGTTTRTGTTTAGTAGTGAATTAGCTGCTCGTAATTTTGCTAATAAAACGACTTAGAAAAGTGAAAATAAGTTGCCCAAATAGAAAAATAATTTGTTTAAAGACAAAGACTAATGACAAATGTTTATGTAATTATTACTTTAAAAAAAAGAACAACAAAACCTGACTGAAGCTATCCTGAGCCCTTGCTAAAAACATAGCAGCTAACAGGCTAGTTAGCGCTGAGCTAGCGTTAGCTCACCGGTGTTGTAAACATGGAGATCCTCCGCGATGCCTTCATTTCCTCCACCGAAAACAATGATGAGTTCGCGGATTGCAGCTGCCCGGTGTCCGTGTCTGGACCGCGGAGTCACTCCGGTAACGGAATGCACTTTCCTCCATTGCGGCTCCTCGACACCGTCGCTCATAGTTTTTATTTTTTTTATTTTTTTATGTTTTTAAGTGAAGAAGCCTGAACTTCGCGCTTCCGACGTCGTGTGGGCGGGGCTTGTGCGGAACAAAGATCAGAGAAAAACGAAGATGTGTCAC